GGCCGAATATTTATCTTTTGTGCATCTTCAGTTGTTATACTGACTCATTCCACATTATCTGTTCTACTTCTGTGACTTTATGCTGAGTTTTTCATCTGTATTTCTCTTTTGATATCCTGAAACTCCGTTTTTGTATTGTCGTCAATTCACTGATTTAATTTCTAAGGACATTTGTTTTTCATCATTTTCTTCCATTTCATTGAATTTATTTTCCATTGCAATTCTAAACTCTGTATCTGATATGGAGAACATAACTTCCATGTTTCTGATGAGGAGTTCTGGATATTTGTTCTCTGTGTTGTACTATTTGCTTGGGGATTCATGTTACCATTTGCTGGATTTTTCCTTCTGCCCGTCATTAGCTTTGGGACCCCAGCTGTTGTATGAGGGGTTCCCTCTGGATTGCCCCTCCCCAACACCCGCTTCACTGATCAGGGTTCTCACCTATCTGATCAAACCACTGATAGGGTCTCACAAGAGATCATGTGGCCTCTGGCCACTCTGACTCACTCCCTGATGTGGGTCTGGGGTAGTTTCACCAGTCTGTGTGGGTGCTGATGGGGATCTCGTGGGAAGTCACAAGGCCTTTGTATACAGGTCTGTGCAGGCAATGAATGCGTCCTGTGGGAGGTCATGAGGCCTCTGCTGGTCTTGGTGGGGGATGGTGGTGTCACATCAAAGTTTTTTAAGTCTTTGGCCACTCTGGATCCTTCCCTGATGGGGGCCCAGGGTCTCACCAGTCCAGTCAGGGGCTCAAAATTACCTTTTGATAATGTTTCCAGGAGTTGCTGGTGCTGCTAACCCATAGCTTACACTCTGAATATCACTGCATTAGATAATATTTCATTAAGTCATCCCTTAGTTATAACATATCCCAAATGTCTTTTTTTTTGAGAATGTGATAATGTGACTTTTTCTAAGCAGTTACTGGTTTCATTTAATAAAGAAATGAAAGTCATGTCCTATATGGACATCAAAAGTTTGTTCACTTAGATCCAACAGTGCAACTGGTAGTCTTTTTCGTGGTTGTGGGAAAATCATTCCTCTGAGTAGAAGGCAGCAAGATAAATTTTAGATTAGTATTTAGCAAGAATTTTCAGTAATATTTTTTCATGATGTGAGAATCAGTTAAGAGAGGGATTGAAGTTAATTATTTTTTATTCTAAAATGTTGAACCTCTTACTTAGCTTTGTATATTTTTCTTGGATGAAGAGGAAACCTGATCTTGAGTCAACTGTTGATGAGATCACTTTTCTAGTTTCTTTCTGATCTGTGAGTTTCATCATAAACCTTACCAACTACCTGAGCTGGTAATAGAAGCATGATTGAGATAAAAGAACTTTCAGTGAAATTATTTCTTCTTTTTTTGGTCATTTTTCTTTATAACGTTTTTGCCCATGCCATTGTATTGGCTAATATATTTCCTAAAGGTATAAAGTTAGCAATGAATTAGTTAAAAGGAGAAAAATGCTTTTTTTTTTTTTTTTTTTTTTGCTGTCTCACTCAGGCCTAAATAATCTCCCCCACCACCCCTTTGGAAGGAGACATTTTAATATGTCACGTTTCAGTTCCAGCTCAATAAACAACCATTTATTTACAATTTTAAAGCAATCTTCAGCCTAGTCAGGTAAGAATTATTTCAAAAGAATAAAAACATTTTCATTTCCCATCACTGCCAAAAAAGAAAAGAACATGAGTTATGAGTCTTGCTATGTTGTCTTAAGTTGATTACTATGGAATGATTAAAAAACTGGCTGTGCTGTCAGTGCAGGGGAGTACATTATAAGTGTAATAACAGCTTAGGGATACAATCCATCAATGCCGCACTTGGAAGAAGAAAAAAAGTTGATCTATTTCTTTGGTCATCATTTTCAGCATATTAGATGACAAATAATTGTACATTCATCAATAACAATAGATTAAAGTTGAAATGATTTATTGCTATTACACTGCTGTTATGATGGAGCACCGGGTCAGTCAAGCATCAGCAGGGTCTGTATTTAATTTTCATGGGTCTCTTAGCAGAAATAATAGACAGAGAGTAAACCACCTGAAACAAGGTAGATCAAAGTTGTTGACAAGTGATTTGTAGGTTGGTTCTTCATGAGTGGTAGGAGAGAGGCAATAGAACCTCTTTGGCGGGCTTGTTGAACCACTAAATCAAGCAGACCTTGCTGAAGCTCAGGCTAACATGCAGTCAGGCAACACATGGAAATATGAAAACTATGCAAGTATGAACTTCGTTTAATATTACCGGAAGGTAATGGCATGCAGTGCACATTCCTGAGGCCAAACCAGGCGATTTAAATTGTCTGCAAATCTCAGGTAGGCTAATGGAAATCTGCTCTTCAGAAAGTAGTTTTAATTGTTCATCTACCCACCCCACTGAATGTCAATAAGGTGTTATAATCATGAGACATTATATGATATATACATCTTAATATATTTTACATGCTTCCTTCTTCAGCAAGGTGAGGATTATCTATACTTAATGTGTTTGAACATTTAAATTTTAATTCAGCAGGCATTTATTAAAAACCAAGATTAGGTTTCACAAAGTGTGGTCCACAGATTGTTTATATCACTATCACTTGGCTTTCTTGCAAAAGTGCATGTTGCTGGGCCCCGTCCAGATGTAGTTAGTGAAAACTATTGGAAATGTGCATAGTTACAAAATTTCCTTGGTGATTCTGGTAGAATCTAAACTTTAAGAACCAGTGTGTTAGGCCCAGATAGTGTAGATAACAAGAACAAGTATACCGTGTCAGTGGGTTTCAGGAAAGCCTGCCTATCCTAGCATTTAGAAAAGTCATATAGTTTATGGGAATTAAACTGTGCATGGGACTTATTATCCTTACCTTGGGCTTATGAGGCATTTCTTTACATTTTAAACTATTTGGATTTCTTATTCATGTGAGACTTCGTGACACAATCTCTGTAATAGCAAATATGTATTGGTTTGCTAGTCTATGAAATAACAATTTTGTGCATCATGTCACCCCACATGCATTGCTTTATTGATTTATTTTATATTTATTGATTTCTGTGAATTTATAAATGGGTTGATCATGTTTTTTAGTGTAATCTTAAGTATGAAATCCATATAGCTACAAAAGTACTTAACAAAATTAGTAAGCAGCATGATTAAGGGAAAACTTTGATGATATTGGATTTTGAGTAATTGTCTCATGAAATATACTTCCCTATTTTTAAAAACAGTTGTGAGTTTTAGAAAACAAGAATAAATATTTTTTTCCTATTCAAAGTAATGGCAAATTCATCATTTTGAAAACTTACTCTCTGAGGTGTGATTTTAGCAGTGACATGCTTGTAATAGGCAGGGGGCTACTTGTTTATAAGGTACCTTTGAACTAATTCCCAAGTGGAATAACTTGGGTTGTACTATGATAAAGAAAAGTCTCAAAGTAATTTGGTCTTGTAATTAATTGTAAGGAAATGACTGTCAGAGCAGAAGGAAGTAACTAGTAAAGCAATGCTAGATTCATAGCTACTAAAGTGAAAATCAAGTATGGGAAAGTTGTGAAGGCAGAAATCAGAATGTCATGCTCCAAGACCCACTGCTGGATTGCAGAGAATTCCCATGTCATAGGCAGTGCCAGTGACTGCATAGAGCACTGTGTTGAGAAGTTGTCTCAAGTAGACCTATAGACAAGTATCTTCTTCATCGGATGAAGAAAGGCGAGGAAGAAAGCTAATAGTAAGTTTATGGGAAGTTATTGCTATAGGTAATTGGGGTTCAATTTCACATGCAGTGTAACTGGCCTCTTTAAATGTGTAGAATATGGCTCAGATTGTGGCTGTGAGGGTAAGTGCTTGGGTATTAATACTATCATCTTTGAATGAATGAAGGTCATGTTTCTCATACACTCTTGGTACTTGAACACTTGACCCTTCTGATCTATTCTGTGCACTGTTCTAACGGGTTCCTTAGAGGGACATAAGTGTTTGAGGTAGAAACTACTGTCAAATATGGAAATGTCCACGGAAGTGCAAACTGACTTCTGAGGTGAGATTTGGGGACTTCATCAATAGCGTTAACTCAAAAGATATTCTCAGGTCAAATATCATCTTAACAGATGAAAGTACTTTCCCAGATAGCCTAGATATGTCTACTGGTATTTGCAATCCCTTAATTGTAACTTCATCATTGAAATTCATGGAAACTTAACCTCATCAGATTTTTCTGTGGTATATATGTTCCCTCTGCATGGTTGGTTTACATAAAAGGACAGGCAGGAGAGCTAGTTAATGGCCATGATGTCTTTAATTAGCAATATCACTAGGGATGTAGGAATGATTTGCAGCGTAAGGGAATAAAGACCAACAATGTTCCTATTGTTTGGTGATGCTATTTGTGGGTGTGAAGGCTGAGTTCTCAGATTTAATTTGGTAAACATAATTTTGTCTGAGGTAGTTGTCACAATACTGCAAATATTTGAAATCATGTCACTGCGTTCCCTAAATTAAGTCTTAAAAAAAAGATGTATTTATTTAATAGTCTTAGCTGTGAAGGCGACATTGTTTAACAAGAAATCTGTCTAGTGATGTTTGTAATTTGTAACAGTATTCTTGTACAGAGCAGTGTACTAACAATCCCAGATAGTATTAATTACTCCTTTCAGTTTAAGAAGAAAATGAGAAGTGCTTACTAATCAATCTCAAGTTTATTAGGAACTAAATTCCATTGGAGGTGAGAGACAGTTGTGCAGTGCGAGTGTCAGAGAAGCACATCTAGTGGCCCAGAGCCCCGATGAAATTAAAATCATTAGAAAACAATTAACATGTATGGACTTAGCAAACTAGATGACTAACTGGCTGAATTTAGCTTTGAAAAATCCCACACCTGTCAATAGCTATCACCAGCAAAGTTGTACTTTATAGTAAAAAAAAAAAAAAAAAGGCCTTTAATTTTCTGTCCAGTCAAATCTAAGTGTATCACACTCAATTTTCCTTACTTAGTAATCTAAATAATTTCCCACCTTGCTCATGATGAATGTCTTGCCAGTTCCTACTCAGTTCCTCCACTTTACACGACCTAATTAAAGAAAACATTCCATGATTGCCTATTTTTTCTCATGCATGACAACCTATTATTTTTTCTACCACCTGATTAGGGCTTTATTACCCTTGGATTTAGATTGATTTGCTGAGCACTTTAATAAAACACTACTTAGTTTGATTTAAAGGACTACAGGTTTCCTTCATTCATACAATTATTCTTATAACCATCTCACATCTTAAGTATACTACAGTCCCACTGAAAATCAGGTTTAGATTGCCTCAGAACAAGGTTGTAAAATAAGAATCACAGGTGACATTCCTGTTGAATGTGGCAATGCAGTCTCTATTGTGGGCAGTCATGAGAGGACATTTTGCAATATAATTTGTCAAGAGTGATAAATCTATTTCATCATATCTGTCAGGAATGGCTCCTATGTATTAAAACCACTATAAAGTTTGCTCAAGATAAACCAAAACTTTCATATGATTAAATAATAATACGTTTATGATGACAAATTACATTTACTGTGTTATCTACAATGCGAGCCAAAATTAGATAGTTAGAGTTCAAATGGATGATGATGCATTTTGATTTCATATCTAGTGAATTCTTATTAAATAAATGAGATGTGCAATATTTATAAAATTGTCTTTTATTTTGGGCCTTTATTACAAACTTGTATCCGACTTGTACAAAATAAAGGGACACACATATCCACACTGAATTGCTTACTAATCTAATAAATTTCCAATAGAAAAAGTAGAGAAAATATTAACTGGAGATCATGCTGCGCTTTGTGGAGGCTAGGAAGAAATTCTAGTCCGAAGAATCATAAATCTCACTCCATAGATGTGGAAGACAAGTATTCAGCCGTAGACTGGAAAAGATAGCTTAGTGAACTCCACTGGAGCCCAGGGTCTTAAGAAATATTGACAGAAGGTTTAGTTCCACATATAATCTAGTCAGAGTCATCAATTATTGATTTATCTATCTGTCATTTATCTAGCATTTATCTATCTATCCATCTATCTATCTAAATCCTTACTATGTGGAAATTTCATAACAGAATGTTTTATAGGATTTTAAGAATCTCAAATGGCTTGTAATCTCAATAGGGTTAATTGGGGTTATCTGTCAAAGGGAATTTAGGAGGACAGGCTTGGACTATGTCATATTGATGTGAAGGCTTCAGGTATTTGATTTTAGAATTCTTTGCTAAGAAAATTCAAAGAATGTAGATATGAAATTACGCTGGTGTATTGAGCATTTCTCTTTCAACATTGTATGTACACATATAACATGCACATGCACATGCACATGCATTGCCCTTATGCTTGTTAAAGTCAAAATTGAGAGCTGCCCACACTTTGTAGTATTTGTGAATTATTCAAGACATTCAAGACATTAAATAGGTAAGTTTCTCAGAACCTGCTGTAGGTCTGCTAGTTGGAATTTCTTCCCAAGGATTTAGGTATAGCAACCAGACCTATACCAATCAGCCCGTGGGATCTTGGAGTCAACGAGTAGTCAAGTCTTACTTGGTCAGCAGGCTATCAGTGCAAATACTTACCTGTCTGCCTAGCCAGGAAGTATATGAGCATTGTGAAGAATTCCAATTTCTGTAGATCATGAGGTGAAAATAAATCTAGCTAAATATTTGAGACACATATAGTAGAAGAATTAAAAATGTGGTCAGAGTAAAGTGACTAAATAATATACTGCCTGAATCAGAACAATTTAGAAAGTGAAAATGAATGCTAGTTATAGTTATACTGTGCTAACAGTCATAACCTAGGATAGGCACATGCTAACAAAATAAAAGATCACCCTAAGTGTGTACCTCTGTATTTTCCATTGCACTTATCTCCCTTTTCCTATTCAAATACCACAAGACATAGAATAAGACAAACTTCAATTTTCTTGCTTTTATCATCATCAATCATCGCTACCATCATTGTCCTTTTTTGTGATATTTCCTTCTGCTTGTTAATCTCTCTCGTAATTGAAATTTAGCTGTGGTGTCAGATTTTCCCTTCTCTATTCTTTGTCATACTTCTCAATAATATCCAAACGTATGCTGCATGCAACCTCCTGGCCTCTCAGATCCTGAATTTCCTTGTTTGTAAGATCTTTTGAACCACACCACCTCAGTTGTTCATCTCTAGGTATCCACATTCTTAACATTATTATCACCAATGATGACCTTACCTGCAAAATTTTGTTCTCAAGCATTTTATTTCCTAACCACCAAGTCCTTACTTTCTTACTGTAACACTCCCACTGTAGAACTGCCAAGATCTCAAACCATTTACCCATATCTATTACAACATAGGATTTCTCCACACTATTTTTGCCTCACTCACCATAGAATCTATAGCTATTGTTATGAACACTCAAAAATATTCTCAAAACTTTTCCACTCTCTACAATCTACACTTGTGACTCAACCACGTTTAAACCTAAATATCAGCTTCTCCAAACCTACATCAGAGTAACATATATTTTCTGGGGAAAAAAAAATAATTCCGCAAGCCAATTGTGCACCCTCCCTCATCTCTCCCCTGTTCGTTTTCCTCTCTTCTTTCTCTCCTATGCTTCCTTCTGCCCCTCTTTCCTCCATTGGCCTCCACTTTTCTCTCCTCCTGTCTTCTTCATTCCTCTCCCAAACACCCCCCTACTCCTCAACTAGGATCAATTGGTCAGTATTGTTAACATGCTATAACATTATCTATGCTACAAAAAATTCTGAACCTGCATCTTTCTATAGCTGCTACCCCGTTTTTCTACTCCCTTGAAGGGAAAGCATGTTGAGTATCTGTTCACTCCTATAACCACCATTTTCTTCTCTTTCACTAAGGATCTTTCAACCTAACTATCACCATATGGATTATTTCTAAAATATATATATATATATATATATATATATATATATATATCAAGACCATTATGTGGCATGTGGTCAAATATAATGGTAACTTTACTTCCTAGTCTTATTTGACCTCTCAAGAGCATGCGATACAATAGAATCTATCACTTCTCATTGTAGTGTTCTTGCCATCCCTTTGGCTATGCCCTTTAAGTCACAAAATCTAGTAGTCTTTATTTAAAAAAAAAAAATTATTCATTTAAACACATAAGAACTGGGGACAGGCCAGAGGTACAGGGAGGGTGAGAGTATTCACCAGAGACAGAGTGGGGAACAGAACAGGGAGACTGACTGAAATACACTGCTGAGGGGAGCAGCGGGTGAGACAGGAGAGTTCAGCTGTGCCACGTGGGTAGCTCTCCAGCCAGGGATTGAACTTGCGCTACAGAGGCCGCAGGCAGCCTCACAGTGCTGTGCTCAATCCCCTGCGCCACCAGGGAGGCCCTCTAGTTGTCATTTTTTACCAAACTCTTGTTTTTTAAAAAAAATAATCCTCTTTTATGATTCCCTGGGGCTTACAGTTTGTCCTTCTTTTCTATCTATGCTATCGTTAGTAATCTAACCTGTTTCTATGATCTGAAATGCCATCTACATACCATTTAAGTATACATTTCACTCTCCAAAATGCTCCTCTATACTCCAGACTTTTCATTATAGTTGTCTAGTTGATATCATACTAGCTTTGTATTATACATCCAGAATAAAAAAATTGATTTTGAATTTCCCACCACCATCTATTCCTCTCCTAATCTTGTCCAGCTAAATAAGTAATGCTATATCTTAACAGTTGCTCAAGTCAACAAACTTCAGAATTTTATTTTATCTCTTCTTAATCTCACTCCTTTGATGTAATGTGACCTGAAAATTATATTTCAAATACGATTTACTTCTGTTTTCTCCATTACTCCTCTAATGCAAGCTATTAAGAATATGGTCTGGGGGGGCCTTCGCGGTGCCACAGCGGTTGAGCGCTGGGTTGCGACGCTGCCCGCAGCCTCTTTAGCACCAGTTTGATCCCCGGCCACGAGGCGAGGGTCCCACATGGCGCGCAGACCTCTCCTGCCACCCGCAGCTCCCCTTAGCGGTGCATCGTCAGTCTGCCTGTTCTGTTTCCCGCTCTGGCTCTGGTGAATTCTCTCACCCTCCCGCGCTTCTGACTGTACCCAGTGCTTGTATATATAAATAAATCTTTAGAAAAATATATATATAGTCTGGGAACCTCCCTGGTGGTGCAGTGGGTTGAGCGCAGTGTTATGAAGCTGTCCGCAGCCTGTGCAGTGCTGGTTCGATTCCTGGCCGGCCAGGGAGCAACCCACATGGCGCAGCAGACCTCTCCTGTCTCACCCGCTGCTCCCCTCAGCAGTGTCTTCGGTCCGTTTGCCCGTTCTGTTCCCTGCTCTGTCTCTAGTGAATTATCTCACCCTCCCATTTCTCTAGCCTGTACCCCAGTTCCTATATAAATAAATAAATCTTTAAAAAAAATAATCTGGGCCTCCCTGGTGGCGCAGTGGTTGAGTGCTGGGTTGTGAAGCTGCAGTGCCGGTTTGATCTCCCGCTGCTCCCCAGCTACCTGAGGAGGGTCCCACATGGTGCTCAGACCTCTCCTGCTGCCCGCTGCTCCCCTCAGCAGTGTACTTCGGTCCTTCTGCCTGCTCTGCTCCCCGCTCTGGCTCAGGTGAATTCTCTCACCCTCCGGTGCTTCTGACTGTACCCAGTGCTTGTATAAATAAATAAATAAATCTTTAAAAAAAAGTTTAAAAAAATATATATATATAAGATCAGCCCTTTATCATTAGTGTTGGGTGCAAAAATGTTCTCCCAGTCAGTGGGGTTTCTCTTTGTTTTTGTTATTGTCTCTTTTGCTGTGCAGAAGCTCTTTAATTTGATGTAGTCCCAGCTGTTTATCTTTGCCTTCACTATCACTGCTTTGGGTGATGTGTCTGTAAAGATGTCTTTGATATGCAAATCACGTAGTGTTTCACCTATATTTCCTTCTATGTATTTTATGGTTTCAGGTCTTATGTCTAGTTCTTTAATCCATTTTGAGTTGATTTTTGTGTATGGTGTGAGGTAGTGGTCAAGCTTCATTCTTTTGCATGTAGCGACCCAGTTTTCCCAGCACCATTTATTGAACAAACTTTCTTTGCTCCAATGCATAGTCTTTGCTCCTTTGTCAAATATTAGTTGACCATAAATCTGTGGGTTTATTTCTGGATTTTCTATTCGATTCCATTGGTCTGTATGTCTGTTCTTGTTCCAATACCATGCAGTTTTGATGATTATGGCTTTGTAGTAAAGTTTGAAGTCTGGGAGTGTGATGCCTCCATTCCCTTCTTTTTTTTTCAGGAGAGCTTTGGCTATTCGGGGTTTTTGGTGATTCCATTTGGATTTCATCAATAATTGTTCTATTTCTTTGAAGAATGACATTGAAATTTTGATTGGAATAGCATTGAATCGGTATATTGCTTTTGGTAGGATGGCCATTTTAATAATGTTTATTCTTCCAATCCATGAGCAGGGGATGTCTTTCCATTTCTTTGTGTCTTCTTCTATTTCTTTTAACAGTGTTTTATAATTTTCTTTGTATAGGTCCTTTACCTCTTTTGTTAGATTTATTCCCAAATATTTGATTTTTTTTGTTTCGATAATAGAGCTGATGAAACTCAACAACAACAAAGAAAATAGCCCAGTCAAAAAATGGGCAGAAGAGCTAAAAAGAAACTTCTCTGAAGAGGAAATGCAAATGGCCAACAGACATATGAAAAAATGTTCAACATCACTTGTCATCAGGGAAATGCAAATCAAAACTACCATGAGATATCATCTTACACCAGTGAGAATGGCACATATTAAAAAAAACTAGCAACAACAAATGTTGGCGAGGTTGTGGAGAAAAAGGAACTCTCCTGCACTGTTGGTGGGAATGCAAACTGGTCCAACCACTATGGAGAGCTGTGTGGAGATTTCTGGACCTACTAAACATAGAGCTTCCATATGATCCAGCAATTCCACTCCTAGGTATTTACCCAAAGGACACAGAAACATCAATTCCAAAGAACACCTGCACCCCTCTGTTTATAGCAGCACTATTTACAATAGTTAAGCTTTGGAAACAGCCCAAATGCCCAAAAATAGATGACTGGATCAAGAAGATGTGGTACATATATACCATGGAATATTACTCAGCATTCAAAAAAGATAAACACATGCAATTTGCAGCCACATGGATGGCGCTGGAAGGGATCATGCTCAGCGAAATAAGCCAAAAAGAAAAACAAAAATACCGGATGGTCTCACTCATAGCAGGAATCTAGAAAACTTAAATAAGGGATCAGGAAAATGAATAACTATAAGAAAGTGAAAATCAAAATCAACAAAAAACTATGAACCAGAGACACTTGTTGGGGGGTGGGGGCCGGGAGGGGAGGGATTGGGGTCAGAATGGGGCATGTGCAGTTGTATGGGGGAATATAAAAATAAAATTTATTATTTAATAAAAAAAATAAAATAAAATAAATCTTTAAAAAAAAAAGAAAAAGAAATATATATATATATATATATAATCTGGAACTAGAACAGTACACTCAGAGCTCTTTTTACTTTCTTATGATATCCCGATCATGTGAAATGAATTGATGTCCTTATTTTTCTCAGAAAATAGAGCTACAAGTACAGTTTTTCATGATAGTGGTTAGTTAATAACTCCTAAAAATAGAGTACAATAGCACGCTAAACTGTAGCTCCTGAGATTTCATTGTTCATTCCTCTGTCACCAGCTCTAGATTTATTTTCCCTTTTACAGAAAACCCACTGGTCTGAATATTTCTTCTTGTAATGTGCTACAGATTTTCATATTCAGGGGTTCTGAGTGCTAATCCTCTTTTTTCTCTTTTGTGAGTGATTGTCACAGTTACATATATACACTTATTATTGGTATGAAAATAGCAAAGATCATCCAATGAATACCATGGGTTTCAGACATCCTCTTCCCCTATACTCATTGTGCCTTTACATCTAGATCCTCATAGTAACCAAGAACAATTAGCTAGTTAGTAAAATGGTGCTTTTAATTACCTGATTGTCAAATCATAGAACGAGTCAAAGTATGTAGTTATAGGTTACACTTCGGATAATGTTCAGAAATGTTCATCAACTCTTCCCACCCTTCCACATACTAGAACTTTACAGCTCTAACAATTCTGTAGAACTTGAGGTTGTGGTGGTAAAAGAATAAATTCCACAAATGTCTTCCTGTGAGTAAGGATGAGAAGAGCCATTCCTACTTCCATTCTTTGTTCCTTCATGTTCTAGATACTGCTTATTGGCAATTGGTTAAGCACATAAACCTCACTGTCATTGAATCTACAAGGTAGACTCATTTACTGAATCATACCCTGTATTGTTCTTGAGCTGGAGTCTTAGCTGAGTCTTTAATACGCAATTCCACTATTCTATAAGGACAATTGTATAACCTGTCAGAGGAGAGCACATCACAATTATCTAACTTTAAGCTTTTGTAGTAATAAGAGTTACTTTGTTTACAGTAATGTTGTATCTGATAATTATGGCAATGGGTTGGGTCCTTGGATGGTGCTGTCAGAGGCATTTGAGCAAAAATTTGAATCTTAAACTCATTTTTCTGTCTACTATTATTCCCTATGCAATCAGAAAGTTGCTTCTGGATGAGGGCCACTTGAGAACCAAGGAATAGCTACAGGGTGGGTCACTGTATACACTGAAGTCAATAGAAGATGGACTCAGTCCAATACTCTTATAGTCCCTCAATAAAAGAAGGACCTTGATGGTATTCATTTCCTTCAGTATTACATCAATTCAAATTCTATATCTGACAGTTCTTGAAAAGTCTTGGTATTCCCTTTTCTTTAGTATGAAATTCTCTGGTAAATAGATTCAGATTCCTTTGGGGGTAGCATTATAGTGCTGCATTTATACTCTATATTCTGCACTTGTATTGTAGAATCTTTTCAAGGAAAGGCCCTAACTACCTTTTAATCAGTGGACTTGGTGTCTGAAAACTCACATAGTTCTAGAAACTGATTGAATACCATAAGTTTGCTTTGTGATACACCTTTTCTTTATCAGCTCTTCTACTATAATTATGAGCATGCCTATTCAAATATGTATATTCTAATTGGCTAACCTATAAGTAGCACCCTTCAAACCAACATACTATAGTAACCATTTCTATAGATCTTTAGAGGACAAAATACTCTGATTTTTTGCATTCTCTAAGCTGCTTGTCTGATGATTTGTGATTTATTAAGAGTGTTTCATCTACCTCTACCTTACTACATAATAGATTCTTGTTGGTCTCTGCTTTTCTGAAATTCTATGTCACAAGTCCATGGCATCTTTCACTATCAACTCTGGATTTATTTGGACAATAGAATTTACTAAATTTCTGTAAGATATCAGTGATCCTTCTCACAGATACATTCTTTATTGACCTATCAAAGTCATAGTCCTTTGACACATGGGGAAGAATATGCTGGATTATTTCACCTGATATAATAAGTGGCTTCTCATCTTCAACCTATGAGCTAACAAATTATGCATTAGTGTCTGAGTAGTCTTCTCTGACAATGCCATGTAAGGACATCTCTGCTGTTTCTTTAGCATGTCACCCCATTTATTTGCTCTAGCAAATTTAAGAAGAATCTGGAACTTATCTTACTTAGGTAGTTACTTATTTGTTTTGTTGTTTACTTCTCCAATAGAATATGAACACAGAAACATTGTCTCTCTGCCATACCTCTTGATTTTAAGTACTCAAAAAATTATTATTTTCATAAAACATAAGTATTTTTGACACTTAATGGTTTCTAGTTAGTTGTTATGCCTTTTTTAGGTGCATCAAATGTTTTAATGCTTATATGGTAGAACATTTCTTCCAGGGGCTTAGCAAATGACATCAGTCCTTCTGTTTTATAAATGATTACTCAATAGAGTAAACCGCTATATGTCAATAAAAGTTATTTTTTTGTGTGTGTGTTTGAAATGCCATTACTATTACACTGTACCCTTTTCTATTATTTAAAAGTGCAAAGTACCAACTGATTGCATTTTATATTCAGTAATATGTTATGATAGATGGTATAGAATGTAAATAAAAGAATCTGTGTTTAAATTTTGAGAGAAAAAGATCAAATAACCATACCTGGTGACCTGAGGGTGGTTGTTTTTGTTTTGTTTTTTTTTTTTAACTGTGGTCAGAAAGCAATACAACTGTGTCTTTTTGCATTTTTAACTGCAAATTCCCAAATTCAAACTAATTAAACTATGCACATTAATTGGTAGCAGATAAAAGACTAATCTGATGAAAACCCTGAGATAAAAATTCTTAAAATTTACTGTAGTCAGAAAATTCATAATGATTAATTTAACAGACTAAAAGTTATGAGAAGTGAGGTCAATGCTATGTGGGGAAATTCACTTGTCAAGAAAATATCCCAGTGGCTTGGAACTTTTAATAATGATTTAGCAAAAAACTTACATTTTTCTCCAGGAAAAATAAAAATAAGGAATACTGCTCTAAGAAAGAATAAGCTAGGCAATAATTTGGAATTATTTTGAAAACTATACTAAATTAAAAAAAAATCATATTTTATTTTTTTAAGATTTATTTATGCATGTAAGAGCTGGGGTACAGGGCAGAGGTATGGGGGTTAGAGTATTCACCAGAGACAGAGTGGGGAGCAGAACATACACTGCTGAAGGGAGCAGTGGGTGTGAGAGGAGAGGTCTGATGAGCCATTGTAAGTTAGCTCCCTGGCCGGGGATCAAACTCAAGTTGTGGTAGTTGTGGATAGCTTCATAGTGCTGACTCTTAAACCCTTGCACCACCAGGGGGGCCCTACTTTTTTAAATAAAATACATTAAATAGGAAAGAGAGTAAATATACATGTTATTTACCTTGCATGAAAATGACCAGATTACTGATTTTAATATTTACAATCTTTTTTGGTAAACACTTTTCCCCACTAGCCATATGGAATCTTGATTTATCAGTAATAATTAATTGTTTCAATAGTGCTTAATGTTTTTATTTAATCAAACAAATAACTGAACAATAAGAAAAAGATTGTGTATCTTAGTGAATTATACTGTAAAATTGTTACTAATTGATGTTTTTGTGTCTCAGTCTCCTCTTTTGGGGATAAAGGGCAATAAATAGGTATTTTGTCCAGTGCATTCTGATTTTCAGAGTAACGTTTGAAAAGTTTATAGTCTTGACGACAAAAGAAACTTTCAAGAAAGAGCTGTTGGGTGATGACATTGTGGTTTTGCATGATTCTGTTGATTTATGACTTAAGGGGATGCTTACTTATCTACCATAGAAGTTTGTTCTGTATTCATCAGGAAGAAGGAAGAAACTGACATGTGGGAAACATACAATTTCAGTTCTAAAAAAGAAAACCTGACATATTTTAAAGTTTAATAGACGGAGTTACTCAAACACAAAATAACTATGTTCAAGTAAGTACATAAAAACATGTTGAAATTTTCCTTTTCTCAAAATAGAAGGCCAGGTCTATCCAGAATCAAAACAATTACTTCTATGATAGATAAACATCAAAAATAATTTTCTACATTTCTTGCTAATAGAATAAGGTGCTTTATCAGAGTAATAGTTGAGAATGATATGCTCTAGTAGTATTTTGATGAATTACATGATTATAGTTAAAATGAACAATTTCATCATGCTTGAATTAATAACGGTACTGTGATTTGGCAAGTACTCACTCTTGCAACATTGTCTAACTCATCACTTCAGAAGACAGACCTACACACTCTGTTCATTGTTTTTGAAAATTTGAGCTCATATGCAGTTTCAAAAAAAAAAAGGGGAGGCAGGAGAAACATGTCAGCTATAGAAAGAAATGCATGCACAGATTTTTATAACTTCAATGCTTGATTACATTACCTCTTACTGCTCATTTTAATCTCATGTATGACTAGCAGTTAAGTCAGAAAATAAGTAGACATTTTTGAATGTTTCTTTGTTTACCAAATTTAATTGAAAATATTCCACACCCCAAGGTACTCCTGAGACACAGAAATTGTATGTGTATGTGTTATTTTACATTTAGATTTAAAAGGATTAGGAAGGATAATATATAATCAATGCAACATTCATTTGGGTATCAATCAAGTAAAACACACACACATACAGAACTGAACATTACATAATTTCAGTCATAGAGAGTACAAATTGTGAATTGATTTAATATATTCATAAGTGTAAGTACTCTCTTTTAATGTAACTCGCAATTTGTTTCACGAAATCATTCTGTTCATTTTCTTTAAAATCGTACATGCCTGGATACGTTTTCTTAAAAGATGCATATAAAGATACTCTTTTAAGGGTATCTTTTACTCTACATTGTATCAGAGACTTATCAGAATTAACATTCTAACATCCTTTTTTAACAGAGATTCTCTGATAAATTTAAATCACAAATAGATAATTCTTCAAGATTACTATAATGTAGATATAGAGTGAACATTCAAAATCAAATTACTTTCCTCACTTACATGTTTTTTGCACATTTTTAATGATTTCTCATGTAATATGTAGGTTGCATTTCATTTTTAAGAGTTAGAAATAGCACGTAATTGTCTATGTTTTTTTGTTTCTATTTTTTTGCAATCGTAAAATGCACCCCTATTCTGAAATGTTTTATCTACAGTTGCTTGGGTGTTATCAGTAGAACAAAATCTCTCATACGTTTCAGAGTAATATTTTCAAAACTGATGTATCTCATTAAAATTCATGCTATTGTTTAATCTTTGTAGTCTTTAATATATGTGCTGTTATAAATTTGAATCATAAAGTAAAACTGAATCATAAAGTAAAGCTAAAAATCCTTTTTGTTTCATTTTTATCAGACATTTATATATGACTCCAGGGTTGAAGATCTCTAAGGTTTTATGCTTTAATCTTATCCTATACCAAAGTATGAAACGGTTCTAGTTTTTATCCGTAAAAGGCTAACCAGACATAGTATAAAGAGAAGATTTGATAATCATTTGTTTAATTTAATGAAGTATGCAAATCGGATGCTTCAAATCTGGGAGCTATATATCAGTGTCTCATATGTATTAACAGATAATAACTAGAACCTTGCCTCCCAAATTAGAATAAAACTACTTT